GGTGTCATTGGAACACTCAAGAAGATGCCCCGAATTTCACTGGCCATGCAAACCACGGTTTAGGGGATGGGGGGTAGCAAGCCAGAGAGACCCCCTCCCCACACACACCCAATTCTGCATAGAGTCACTGGCACAGACAGGGCCTTGCATTGTGTGGAAGGAAGCATTTTCCTCCATGCTGATTTTAACTCTCGCCATCAGCCCTCCCCATCTCTCCTCCTGCTCCCCCCACTGCAGCCCCCTTCATTCTGGGGTGGGGGTGGGCGTTGTTTTCTGACCACATCCTGAACACCGGAAATGCTTTGCGCTGTTCCTCAACAGTCTCTCCTTCCTTCTCGCTCGCTGACACTTGGCTCTCGCCGAAAAAAATCTTCCAATTTGGCCACTTAATTCTGTTCCAACCCGGCCAAAAGTCCTCAATTTACGACCATTGGGATTAGGATTCCCATCGCTAAGCAAGGCAGTTGTTAAGTGTCTTTGTTATATGAGTTGCTCCCACATTTCTGACCTCTTTTTGGCCACGGTCATTAATTGAATCACTGAAGTTGTTAAGCAAATCAGGTGGTCGTTAAGCGAATCTCGCCTGTCGTCCTCCCCAGTTTTGTTTGTCAGAAGGTCGCAAAGGGGGATCACGTGACCCAGGGACACTGCGACCGTCGTAAGTCCATGACAGTAGCCAAGTGATTTTGATCATGTGACCATGGGGATGCCGCAACGGTCGTAGGAGTGAGGACTGGTTGCAAGTCACATTTTTCAGTCGTGTTTTAACTTTGAAGAGTCACTAAATGAACGGTCGTAACTCGAGGACTACTTATAATAGAAAAGCTGTGTGGAAAATCAGCACAAGAACTGCTGCATTTGGAAGGGATTTTCCAAAGATGAAACAATGTACAGCTGGTGTGCATTTGTGTTTGTGTGCATTTGTGTTTGTGTGTGTTTGTGTTTGTGTGTGTTTGTGTATAATTTGTGTGTGTTTGTGTGCATTTGTGTTTGTGTGTGTTTGTGTATTTGTTTGTTTGTGCATTTGTGTTTGTGTGTGTGTTTTGTGTGTGTTTGTGTGTGTGCATTTATGTTTGTGTACGTTTGTGTGTGTTTGTATGTTTGTGTGTGTTTGTGTTTATGTTTGTGTGTATTTGTTTGTGTGTGTGTTTGTGCATATGTGTTTGTGTGTTTGTTTGTGTATATTTGTGTATGTGTGTTTGTGTGCATTTGTGTTTGTGTGTTTGTATGTGTTTGTGTGTTTGTGTGTGTTTGTGTGTTTGTGTTTGTGTGCATTTATGTTTGTGTGCGTTTGTGTGTGTTTGTGTGTGTTTGTATGTTTGTTTGTTTGTGTTTGTGTTTGTGTTTGTGCATTTGTATTTGTGTGTTTGTGTGTTTGTGTGCATTTGTGTTTGTGTGCATTTGTGTGTGTTTGTTTGTGTGTGTTTATATTTGTGTGTGTTTGTGTATGTTTGTGCATTTGTGTTTATGTGTTTGTGTGTTTGTGTACAGTTGTGTTTGTGTACCTTTGTGTGTGTGCATTTGTGTTTGTGTTTGTGTATGTTTGTATGTGTTTGTGTGTGTTTGTGTACATTTGTGTTTGTGTGCATTTGTGTTTGTGTGTGTTTGTGTTTGTTTGTGTGTGTTTGTGTGCGTTTGTGTTTGTGTGAGAGAAAGAAAGAGGATAATTTGATGAAATACATGGCTTGCTGGCTGCTCAGAGTTATCCAATTGCTTTGGGATTTGGGGATAGTCCTTGACTTACAACAGTTCATTTAGTGACCGTCCAAAGTTACAACAGGACTGAAAAAAGTAACTTGTGACGGTTTTCACACTTATGACCGTTGCAGCATCCTATGATTAAAATTCAGATGCTTGGCAACTTCGCAGTGTCCCGGGGTCATGTGATCCCCTTTTTGCGACCTTCTGACAAACAAAACTGGGGAGGACGACAGGCGAGATTCGCTTAACGACCACCTTCCGACAAGCAAAATCAATGGGGAAGCCGAATTCACTTAACAACTGTGTGACTCACTTAACAACAGAAGTGACTCACTTAACAATTGTGGCAAGGAAGGTCATAAAATGATCCTCTCTTGCAATCTTTGGATGAAAAAAAAGTCCATGGGAAAGCCGGATCCGCTTAAACAACCGTGTTACTCTCCTAACCGTGGAAGTGATTCACTTAACAACGGCGGCAAGGAAGGCCGTAAAACGGGGGGGAAAAAAAACCTCATTTACAACTATCTTCGTTTAGCAACGGAAATTCAGGGCCGAATTGTGTTTTGTAAGTCAAGGACTACCTGTGTCGGCCCAGGTTCTGTGGGGAGGGGAGGACGGTGCGGGGAAACGGATCTCCAGGGAGCCACTGGATCTAATGCATATGGTGGGCCCGAATTTTGCCCTTTCAGCATTTGGAGGGGATCCAGACAACCACTTAAGCCTTGTCAACTCTTCCTTTGTTTATGGCACACGCCGGGCCTCCAGTTCAAAGAAAAGAGGAAGGGGTTTGTGCAAATTGTGTGTGTGTGTGTGTGTGTGTGCTTGTAGGGGGCAGACCCACACATGCACAAGCGGGCACGCCAGCCCCCCCCCTCCCCAAAATACTAAATCAGTTCCCCGGTTTGGCTCTTAATCTGAGATAGGGGAAATTTAATCTCTTCCTCTGAGAACGGAAACTTCTTCCAATTTTATTTTCAATCAGCTCATCGAACCGGCGGAGCCAGGGAAGGGGGGGGTGATTTGGGGCAGACCCCTGGGAGGGGGAAGGAAGCTCTCTCTGCAACCTCGGAGGAGGGGGGGGGAAAGAGGGCAGCCCAGCCCCCTCCTCCCTCCCTCCTTCCCTCCCTCCCTCCCTTTCAAACCTGGTTAATTCCCACCGGAGAATTAACTGCCATTCATTTCAGACGGAGGAGATGGTCTGAAGAGCTTCCCTGCACCCCCCCCCCGCAATTCCCACCGTCCGCATTGCGCAGGAGGGACCCCCCCCCCATGCAAGGCAGAACCCGAGGCCGGAGCTGGGCTTCCCAGGAGTCCAGGTGAAGTTTGGGGGGTGGGGGGGTGGGAGGTTTAAAGGGGTTGTCAGGGCAGGAATGAAGGAGGAGGACACCTGAGAAAGTGGGGAGGGGGGATTGAGCATCTCTGCAGAGGGTGGAAAAGACAGAAGTTGGACGGATGGTCGAGTCCGGATTTTGGGGAGGGGGAGATACAGGGTAAGGGAAGCGCTGGGGGGGGTCTCCACCAAGGGAGAGGAGGTGGAGCAGAGTTTAGGGGTGTCAAATCTTTTGGGGAGTGGGAGATAAAGAGCAAGGGAAGTGCTGGGGGCTTCATCAAGGGAGGGGAAGGGGAGCAGAGTTTTGGGGTATCTTTTGGGAGGGTGGATAAAGGGCAAGAGGAGTGCTGGGGGGGCCTCCACCGAGGGAGAGGAGGTGGAGCAGAGTTTTGGGGTTCAGAATCTTTTTGGGGGGCAGATAAAGGGGGAAGGGAAGCACTGGGAAAGGCCCCATCGAGGGAGAGGAAATGGAGCAGAGTTTTGGGGTACAGAGTCTTTGGGGGGGCAAAGAAAGGGCAAGGAAAGCATGGGGGCTCCATGGGGGGGACGGGAGGCAGTACAGAGATTTGGGGGTACGGACTCAAGGTGATCCAAAGGTCCTACTTGGTCTCCAACGGCCCCCTCAGACCAAAGGGAGGGCAATGGGGTGCAAAAAAAAGGGGAGGGGGGAACAAGGCAAGGGGCAGAGTGGATAGAAAGAGAGGAGCCTCTCCAGCCAGGCGCAGCAGCCTCTCCCAGCCCCTAAATGGGGGCATTCTGAGCATTGAAGCCCACCTACCCCCAAAAAGCCCCTCTCCTTTGTGGATTGGGGGACCCTGCCCCCACCCTCCTCTAATGCCAGGGGTCCCCAACCTTTCGGACTTCAGGAGGGACCACTAAATTCATTTCCAATCCCAAGGACCACCAATATGATTTTAAAAAAAAAACAAAGATAAAAGAGTATTTTAGTGCAATATTAAAAAATGCAAATAATGTTTCCAACAATTTCTCGCGGACCACCAGTGAAATTGACCCTTGCGGGGTGGGGGGGATGGACCCCGCCGTCTCGGGGCAGGCAGGGAGGGGAGGGCAAGGAAAGGGGAGGGGGCAACAAGGCATGGGGGGGAGAGAAGGAGAGGAGCCCACCTACTCAGGCACAGCCGCTTCTCCCAGCCCATTCTGAGCATTGAAGCCCACCTACCCCAAAAAACCCCCCTCCTTTGGGGACTGGGGACCCCCACCCACACTGTCCCGGGGCAGGCAGGCAGAGAGGGGAGGGCAATGGGGTGCAAGGAAAGGGGAGGGGGCAACAAGGCATGGAGTGGGGGGGGGAGAGAGAGAAGGAGAGGAGCCCACCTACTCAGGCGCAGCAGCTTCTCCCAGCCCCTAAATGGGGGCATTCTGAGCATTGAAGCCCACCTACCCCCAAAAGCCCCTCTCCTTTGGGGACTGGGGACCCCCACCCACTCTGTCCCAGGGCAGGCGGGGAGAGAGGGGGGGGCAATGGGGTGCAAGGAAAGGGGAGGGGGCAACAAGGCATGGGGGGGGAGAGAAGGAGAGGAGCCCCTCCACCCAGGCGCTTCTCCCAGCCCCTAAATGGGGGCATTCTGAGCATTGAAGCCCACCTACCCCCCAAAAGCCCCCCTCCTTTGGGGACTGGGGACCCCCACCCACCCTGTCCCGGGGCAGGCAGGCAGAGAGGGGAGGGCAATGGGGTGCAAGGAAAGGGGAGGGGGCAACAAGGCATGGGGAGGAGAGAAGGAGAGGAGCTCCTCCAGCAAGGCGCAGCAGCCTCTGAAGCCCACCTACCCCAAAAAACCCCCCTCCTTTGGGGACTGGGGACCCCCACCCATTCTGTCCCGGGGCAGGGAGGGAGGGAGGGGAAGAGGGGAGGGCCGGGGGGAGGGTCCCAGGTGAGCCCTCCCTCCCGTGGGCCGAGTGCGGAAGCGGCCGGAGGCGGAGCAGCGCCGGGCGGTCGGGCGGCGGGGACTCCTCGGGGCCACCATGAGGGCATCGGACGAGCCGGAGCGGGACGGAGAAGCGGCCGAAGCGGAGCGGGAGTTCGCGCGGCAGTGGCGCCGCCAGTTCCCCGGGGAGGCGCTGCCGGTGCTGCGGCGGGGCTCGGCGGGGGCGCTGGAGGCGGAGCTGGGCCGCTGCCGGGAGGCGCTGCGGGGGCTGCGGGTGGCCCTCCGCCAGGAGAACCTCAAGGCCCGCTACCTGCAGGACCGCCTGGCCCGCGCCAGGGACGCCCCGCCGCCGCCCCCGCCCCGCAGCTGGAAGCCGCCCCGGAGACCCCCGGAGACCCCCCGGCCGGAGCCCCGCAGCGGCAGCAGCGAGGAGGGCGAGGAGGAGGAGACGCCGGCAGGTGAGTCGGGCTCCTCGCGGTCCCCCCCCCAGCACACCTGGCTGGGGAGACTGCGCCAGGAGGGGGCTTGGAAACCTGGCCAGGTAGACTGTTCCTGCGAGGGGAGGCTCTGGAGGAAACCTGGCCAGGTAGGCTGTTCCTACGAGGGGAGGCTCTGGAGGGGGCTTTGCACCTGTCCGGGTAGACTGTTCCTGCGAGGGGAGGCTCTGGAGGGGGCTTTGAAACCTGGCCAGGTAGACTGTTCCTGCAAGGGGAGGCTCTGGAGGAAACCTGGCCAGGTAGACTGTTCCTGCGAGGGGAGGCTGTGGAGGAAACCTGGCCAGGTAGGCTGTTCCTATGAGGGGAGGCTCTGGAGGGGGCTTTGCACCTGTCCGGGTAGACAGTTCCTGAGACGGGAGGCGCCGGAGGGGGCTTTGAAACCTGGCCAGGTAGACTGTTCCTGCGAGGGGAGGCTGTGGAGGAAACCTGGCCAGGTAGGCTGTTCCTATGAGGGGAGGCTCTGGAGGGGGCTTTGCACCTGTCCGGGTAGACAGTTCCTGAGACGGGAGGCGCCGGAGGGGGCTTTGAAACCTGGTCAGGTAGACTGTTCCTGCGAGGGGAGGCTCTGGAGGGGGCTTTGCACCTGTCCGGGTAGACAGTTCCTGAGACGGGAGGCGCCGGAGGGGGCTTTGAAACCTGGTCAGGTAGACTGTTCCTGCAAGGGGAGGCTCTGGAGGAAACCTGGCCAGGTAGACTGTTCCTGCGAGGGGAGGCTGTGGAGGAAACCTGGCCAGGTAGGCTGTTCCTACGAGGGGAGGCTCTGGAGGGGGCTTTGCACCTGTCCGGGTAGACAGTTCCTGAGACGGGAGGCTCCGGAGGGGGCTTTGAAACCTGGCCAGGTAGACTGTTCCTGCGAGGGGAGGCTCTGGAGGAAACCTGGCCAGGTAGACTGTTCCTGCGAGGGGAGGCTCCGGAGGGGGCTTTGAAACCTGGCCAGGTAGACTGTTCCTGCGAGGGGAGGCTCTGGAGGAAACCTGGCCAGGTAGGCTGTTCCTACGAGGGGAGGCTCTGGAGGGGGCTTTGCACCTGTCCGGGTAGACAGTTCCTGAGACGGGAGGCGCCGGAGGGGGCTTTGAAACCTGGCCAGGTAGACTGTTCCTGCGAGGGGAGGCTCTGGAGGGGGCTTTGAAACCTGGCCAGGTAGACTGTTCCTGCGAGGGGAGGCTCTGGAGGAAACCTGGCCAGGTAGGCTGTTCCTGCGAGGGGAGGCTCCGGAGGGGGCTTTGAAACCTGGCCAGGTAGACTGTTCCTGCGAGGGGAGGCTCTGGAGGAAACCTGGCCAGGTAGGCTGTTCCAGCAAGGGGAGGCTCTGTTCAGGTAGACTGTTTGTGTGAGGGGAGGCTCTGGAGGACACTTCAAAACTTGTACAGGTAGACTGTGCCCGCCAGGGGAGGCTCCGGAGAGGGCTTTGAAACCTGTCCAGGTAGACTGTACCTGTGAGGGGGGGTTCTGGAGGAAGCTTTGAAACTTGTTCAGGTAGACCGGTCCCACGATGGGGTCGGCGGCTTCACACCTGGCAAGGTAGACTGCTCCTGCGAGGGGAGCTGTGTGGGGGGACACTTCAAAACCTATCTGGGTAGACTACTCCTGGGAGGGAAGGCTCCAAAGGGGGCTTCGCACCTCTCTAGATAGACTGTTCCTGTGAGGGAGGCTTTCAGAGGGAGCTTCGAAACCTGTCCAGGTAGACTGCTCCTACGGGGGGAGATCTCCGGAGGGGGGCTTTGCACCTGGCCAGGTGGACTGTTCCTGGCAGAGGTGGGGAGGCTCTTGGAGGAAGCTTCGAAACCTGTTCGGGTAGACTGTTCGTGTGAGGGGAGGCTTCGGAGGGGGCGCCACATCTGGCCAGGTAGATTGTTCCTGGGAGGGGAGGTTTCAGAGATCGCCCCTGGGAGATGAGGCTCCAAAGGGGGCTTTGCACCTGGCCAGGTAGACTGTTCCTGGGAGGGAAGGCTGCGGGCTATTTCAAAACCTGTCCAGGTATCCTGCCCCTGAGAGGGGGGATCTGGAGTGGGCTTTGAAACTTGTTCAGGTAGATTGCTCCTGCAAGGGGAGGCTCGGGAGGAAGCTTCGAAATCTGTTCATGTGAGGGTAGGCTCCGGAGGGGCGTTGCACCTGGCCAGGTAGATTGCTCCTGCGAGGGGAAGTTCCAGAGGGGTAGCCTCGCACCTGGCCAGGTAGACTGCTCCTGCGAGGGGAGTCTCCGGCGGGCCCTTCGAAACCTGTCTGGGTAGACTGCTCCTGGGAAGTGAGGCTCCGGAAGGGGCTTCACACCTGTCCAGGTAGACTGCTCCTGCAAGGGGAGGCTCCAAAGGGGGCTTCGCGTCTGTTCGGGTAGACTGTTCCTGTGAGGGAAGGCTTAAGGCCAGGAATGCGTCTTCCAGCAGGTCAGGGACCCAGCTCTCTGTGCATGCTCAGAGGCCCTCTTCCTCCACTTTCCTTCTGATGTGGCATCTTCTCATTAAGATTGGTATCTGCCATTCGGGGAAGAGGCATCTGGATTTTGATGGTGGGACTACGGGGACGTTGGCAGAGTCATAAAGTTTTCAAAAACAGACTGGGCAACCATTTGTCTGAAACGGTACAGAGTTTCTAGCAGGGGGCTGGACTAGAAGACCTCCAGGGTCTCTTCCGACTCTGTGATTCTGTTATTATTATTATTATTATTTTTATTTGTTTTTAAATTTGATTTATATGCCGCCCTTCTCCGGAGACTCAGGACGGCTTACAATGTGCTCAGCAATAGCCTTCATCCTTTTGTATATTTATGCAAAGTCAGCTTATTGCCCCCACAAACTGGGTCCTCATTTCACCTACCTTAGAAAGGATGGAAGGCTGAGTCAACCTGGAGCCTGGTGAGATTCGAACCCTGCAGTAATTGCAGGCAGCTGGTCTTAATAACCAGCTTAATAACAGGGTGCCTTAAACCACTGTACTACCAAGGCTCTTGGTAGTCAGAGCTGTTGCAACTTTGAACAGTCACTAAGCGGATGGTCGTAAGTTGAGAACTCCCTGCACAGAGGGGAGATCCAAGGACTTTGATAGACCTAAAAACTTTTCTCAGCTATTGGAGAATTTCCCTTCCAGAAAACTTTTCCTACCCTAAAATCCCATTTCTCCTTTTACAATAATTCCTTGTTTTTAAAAACCACTCTCAAAATGCAAATTCCTACCTAAGGTTTATTTCAGGAATTTTGCAAAAAAACTCAGGATGCGCTGTTACAGACTAAATTACAGATGGACACGGGAAATGTCTTTTTGTATGTGTGTGTGTGGACATGCATGGATTGTTAACCCGCAGGTGTGGAAAAGGGGAGAATGTTGATAAAAGATATATTCCATTAAATTTGCCAATGGAAATTTCATCCTGCGTATATAGTATTTACATTAGTGTTTTTCAAGTCTTTTGACAATTTAAAGAGAGGTGGACTTCAACTCCCAGAATTCCCAGTTCCTGGCTAGGGAATTCTGGGAGTTGAATTACATCCCTCCAGTTGTCAAGCTGGAGAAACACTGATCTTGGCCATTTTAAGCAAAGCCGGCTGAGGAATTCTGGGAGTTGAAGGCCACAAGTGTTCAAGCAAAGCCAGCTGAGGAATTCTGGGAGTTGAAGGCCGCAAGTCTTCAAGCAAAGCCGGCTGAGGAATTCTGGGAGTTGAAGGCCGCAAGTCTTCAAGCAAAGCCGGCTGAGGGATTCTGGGAGTTGAAGGCCGCAAGTCTTCAAGCAAAGCCGGCTGAGGGATTCTGGGAGTTGAAGGCCGCAAGTCTTCAAGCAAAGCCGGCTGAGGAATTCTGGGAGTTGAAGGCCGCAAGTCTTCAAGCAAAGCCGGCTGAGGGATTCTGGGAGTTGAAGGCCGCAAGTCTTCAAGCAAAGCCGGCTGAGGAATTCTGGGAGTTGAATTACATCCCTCCAGTTGTCAAGCTGGAGAAACACTGATCTTGGCCATTTTAAGCAAAGCCGGCTGAGGAATTCTGGGAGTTGAAGGCCACAAGTGTTCAAGCAAAGCCGGCTGAGGAATTCTGGGAGTTGAAGGCCACAAGTCTTCAAGCAAAGCTGCCTGAGGAATTCTGGGAGTTGAAGGCCACAAGTCTTCAAGCAAAGCCGGCTGAGGAATTCTGGGAGTTGAAGGCCACAAGTCTTAAAGTTGCCAAGGTTGGAGACTCTGTCCTGATCTACATGGAGTATGTAGATAGGAAGCTGAATGCTTCCTCCATGGAGGCTGATACAAAATCAGAAATGGCTGTGTCAGCACCCCCAGGAATGCCATAGGCATAGGGACTAGCTCCTTAACTCCTCTTTTTAAAGAGACTCAGTCTCTACAGATTAATTTTGCTGGGCTCTCCTCTTTCCTTCCAGAATTAGAAAACTTGCAGCCACTTATTCTGTTTCTGCTGGACTTTCTTATCAAACGGATGAATTGATACAAAAATTTGCAAGGGCTGCCCATTTCACGCAAACACACACAACGAAAAGACAAAGCGTTATGTGTATTTTCCAGCAAATGGAAAATACACATAAATGCAAAATCGAAAAGGCCCGCAAATCTTTCGAAAGTATGACCTGGAAGGCACCTTTAAAGATCATCTAGTCCAATGGTTTCCAATTTTGGCCATTTGAAGCCGGATGGACTTCAACTCCCAGAATTCCCCTACAGCTCTCTCAGAGGTCAGAAAATTCCTCCTCAGCTGGAATCTTCTTTCTTTGAGTTGCAAATTTAATTCCTTGGACACTTATTGCTTTTGCAAACAAACCCCTTTTTAGATATTTGCCGTCTTTTATTATGGCTCTTCTCTGTTGCGAGCTCAACATGGCTGCCTCCTAGAACTGGGGTGGCTGGGGAATTCTGGGAGTTGAAGTCCAGCCATCTTCACGTTCCTGAGGTAGAGAAACACGGAGCTGACCAACAAATTGGAATTAAATAATTCTTCTTTCTGTGACCTGTTTTGGATACTTTGGGTAAAAT